CCTCCCCCTCCTCCTCCTCCTCCTCCTCCTCTCCCCACCTCCTCCCCCCTCAGCCACCGCCTCTTCCTTTACCACCACTCCCTCCGGGGCACCCCGGTCCCTGCAGAGTTCCCGCCCGCGCTGCCTTCGCTGCGCCCCCCCGCCCCCCTCGGATCCCAAGCCTGCTACGCCGCCGGAGGTGGGAAGACAGACGGACGGATGGACAGACACGCCGATTCTAGCACTCAGATCTCCACCGCCTTGGCTCCTCGCAGCCCCGCGTTGGGGTGGCTGAGACGGCTAGCGGAGCACCGCGAGGGTAAGCGGGCGTGGTGGGGCTGAAGGCACCGCGTGCTTCGACCAGTCCCCACCCCCAGCGAAACTCCCGGGGGGTTCCTGGGCGCCAGGGGGTGCAGGGAGGGGGTGTCCTCCTCCTCCAACCACGTGTAGGACCGAGGTCCCAGGCTCCACGCCCGTGGAGCCCTAGCCTGGACTGGGGGTTCGTTTTCCAAGTTGGGACCCAACCGTACCGGGCCGGTGGGACTTCAACTTGCACCCGCGCGCGCCTCACAGCCTTGGATTATTTCTGTCTGAAAAGTGCTCACCTTCTCCAAAAGAGAGGTCATTCTGAGATGTTTGGGTGGGACGGGGCTCCCCGGGGAGGGGAGGAGAAGGGCCGATGCTGTGCAAGCATGATCGTTTTTGTTGTCTTTATAATTAGTGTTGGCATGGTTTTTCACATTGTTGTTGCTATTATTATTATTACTATTATTATTTCTATTCTTATTCTGACATTTGTGGTCCCAAAATTAGTTTGCTTTGCAAACCCAGGAACTGCGGATGGAGTCTCTGGTCCTATGTCCGCATTTTCGAGCTCGCCTTCGGTTTTGGGATGATTTTAGGGCCGTGTTCTCTCGTCCCTATTGGCTCACGCCGCGGCATAATTATGATCACATCCCCCAGGCTGCTGGCGCTGCTCTCTGTTTATTGGTGGTTAAAGATCTATTATCTATCCATCAGCCGCCTGTTTTTTTCCTTTTTTTTCCCTTTTGCCAATTACATCCTTCTAAAGTGAAGTACCAGCAGGTATTTTACACGTTTACAATGAATGGTTTTTAATTTTTTTCTGGCGTCCTTTATTACTCCCTAGGCCCATGTCATTTACCTTCCAGAAGCAGAAGTATCTGTGTTTGGTGACTAGGTAGCATGAGACCCTGAAAATGTAGATCTGGAACAGAAAAAACCGAATCCTCCCAGAGGGAGCCTAGAAGGCTCCCCAAGTCAGCCAGGGGGTTGGTGCTGAGGACGTGTGCCTGGGTCTCTCCAACTGCTTGGCCCCCTGTCTTCCTGTCTCCTCTGCTGGCCTGGTTTTCTCTACTGCTCGATCTTTGGTCATGCCAATTAATTGATTTTATTTTAGGTCTAGGTTGAGTTGGTCAGCCAGGGATGTTCAGGTTTTGTCGACAAACCTGGGCAGAAGAGTTGGGAGAGGTATTTTCTGATGGAGTTGAGGCTCTAGTGGGATGAACTAAGAGCCCACAGAAATCACCCGGTTGCTGCCCTTAACCTTTGGAACACATACCCATACATCCATTTACATAGGACACGCGAACCTCACTTTGGCCCTCTCAATGGGAAAAGTTCACACTTGCTTCCACACTGACTGCAGTTCCCTGCCCCACTCCCCAAATACTGTATCTGCTCAGAAATCCCTCCCGAAACCAAGCTGTGGGGACAGAGGCCTCACTGTGCCCTCTGGGGGGGGGGGTGTGCAGGGTGGAGATCTCTGACTACACCCAGCCTGCAAGTTCCAGTGGAAGGAAGGATCAACCCTGGGGACCTGAAGCTGGAGATACCCAAGTCAGATTCCTGACCCTGAGTGCCCCACCAAGAGGGCTGGAGGGGAGACTGGCCATCTTTGCTGGGTGGGGAGAGTCCAGGGCCCCAAACCAGGACCATTAAAAGCTTCCAGATCCTGAGACCGAGAATAAGCTCCCCCCCCCCCCACTTTTCCCCACACAGGTAGAATTCATGGTCTTGGCTAGGGGTAAAAATCACTGGTCTTGAAGGCAGGAGAAATCTAGTCTTGGCCATGAGCTTGTGGGAGATCCCAGTGGTGTGTCTTGTAAGGGTATGTCTCCTCTTGTACCATGGTCAGCCTTGAGTGCTTCAGCTGTGTTCAGTCCTCGGTGCGTTGGGAGGAACCTAAGGGAGCAGGACACACGCTGTAGACAGGATGCCTCAGCCTCTTGCTCCAGGCAGGGACATTTGTTCAGTGCGATGGCATCCTCCGAGGGTCATCGTTTTCCTGGGTCAAGATTGCTCCCAAAGGATCTGGCTGGCTAGCAGGTGGGTGAGAACGGAGGAGCGGCTTCTGGTGCTCATCTTTTGGGAGGTAGCAGGGTGGGCATCTCTCCTCCACTCTTAATCCCACAGTCCCCGAAGCCCACTTGCCCGCCCTCCCCCCCCCAAGCAAAGGGTGAAGGTGGGGGACAAGGAAATCCTGGGAGCTGGGTAATTATGCTAATCCATGCATCCCAACCTGAGGCTCCCGGGAAGGTCTGAGCCACTGGCCCTGACAAGTAGGAGAATTAACTAGCAGAGTAATTCATTAACCACTCTGGCCAGCCGAGGCTCACCAGTGCACTAGGATCTCAGTTCTGGACCCTGGGCTGCCTAGGACTGCGTTTGTGTCTTCCAGCCTTTGTGGACCCCCTTTGTTTCTTAGCTGCTGCTAGAAGAATGGGTGTTTGGTGAAATATCCACACCGTGGGGCTTCTTCCCTTGGCTGGGTGTGTCCCTCCAAATCACTTTGGGTCTGGAAGGCCTGGCTGTGTACACTTATGGATCTACACTGGATCGGCAGCCAGACTAGCAGACACTTGGGAAGTTCTAATCCCAAATCTGTCACTGATTGGCTTTAAGCAACACCTTGGACTCTCCGGACCTCATTTTGTTGTGTGTAAAAATATAGCTAAGTGCTGTCTGGGAAGCAGTGGAGGGTAGTGGTGAGCAAGGATGTTGAGATTTTGTTGTTGTTGCTGCCGTTTGTTTGGTAGGGGAAAGACTATGATAGAGCTGTTCTGCTCTGATTGTGACTGTACTTACACAACTGTGGTTTTCAAGACTCAAAGAAATGTACAGTACAAAGTGTGAATTTTGCTATATGCAATTATATCTTAATATCCCTGTATTCCCCCCCCCCCAAGAGACTTGCGTTCACAGGTTAACTATGTGGTTGTAGGTTAGTTACTTAACCTCTCTGTGCCTCTGTTTTCCTTCAGATGGGAAATGAATAATAGTATCTTGGCCCTTGGGATTGTTGGCAGAGATAAGCAAAGTGTTCAGACAGTGTCTGGCACATAAAGAACGTTCATAAAAGTCGGCTCCTGTCACTGTGGCCGTTAATATTCTCTCCCCAAGGCCACGGCTACTGGCCGGGCCTCCTGTTCTGTGAATGAAGAAGCTGTGCAAAGGAACTAATATTGATCTCTCGCTCCAGCAGTGCTCCCTGTGTTTGCCTAAAGGCCACGAACTTCCTTCAGGAGGTGTTGGGATGAGAGAGGCCTGGATTCCTCTCACGAGGCACCAAAAGGGCAGAGATTTCTACGGATCTCTGATAACCATCTGCTCTGTGCTTCCTCTAAGGCCCCTGCCCCAGCTCAGAGGAGCAAACGGCGGCTCTCGGTGGGTCACTGGCTTTGGTGTTAGGCCGCCAGTCTGGGGGTGAGTGCAGGGCTTTCACACCACACGGGTGGTGGGGGCTGGCGAGGTCCCTACTTGTGGGACTGTGCCTTGTCGCATGTATGAAAAGGGTTTGCTTGTTTACCTTGGTGGGAGAGTCCGTGAGCCTGCCCGGGGCGCGTTCATCAACCCATCTCAGTTATGCTATGCGGTGCCTGTTCCGGTGTGGTGAGGCCTACCGACCTGGGTTGGCGCAGCGATCTCTCACAACGGGAACCGGTGAGCCCTTCCCCGTCCCAGGTCCCAGGTTCCGTGTCCGGGGCGTGCGATTGGGGAGGCCGCTCGCTGGCGGGTTAATTCGTCCTGGGGTCCACGGTGATTCTCCAGGCGCTCGGGACGCACCGAATGCGTAGAGCTTCGGTGAACTCGGAAAAGTGGAAATCGTGTCTTTAAAAAAATCTTTTTTTTTTAAACGATCGCGGCAGATCCCTTTCGGTCCCGAGGCCCGGAGCCCGGCGGGCGCGGCGGCCGGGCTGTCATCGGTGTGCGCGCAGCGGCGCCTAGTGGCGGGGACGCGCGGGCGAGGTGTCCTCCGAGCCCCCAGCCCGTGCGCCCGGAGGCGGGGCGCGGGGGGGGGGGTCCCCATTGCCTAGACCTCCGAATCGGCCACCCAGGCTATTGGAGGCGGAAGTGCAGGGCGGGTGGCTGTAGAGGAGAGAGGACGCCGCGAAACCACTCCTGGCCCCACCAACTCGACGGAGCGTTCACCAGCTTCGCCCCGGGAGTCGGGCTTCCTTGAAGAGGGGAGGGGGCAGGGAAGAGGGGAGAAGTGGGGGACGGGGTTCTGCTCTACGAAACGGGCCGCCAGAGGCAGGCCGGCTGCAGCCCTCAGATTCCCCCCTCCCCCCAGCACAGTGATACTGAGAGACCCCGGGTCCGGCTGGGGCCGGGTGGGGTGGGGGTGGGGAGGAGCTGGGGTAGTGGGGTGCAGCGCTGCTAGATTAGCGCCCCCTTGAGGCCAGCGGAAGACGCCCCGGGCCGTAGGTCCTTAGTTACTGCCCAGGGGGCACCGTAGGCCCAGGGCACCTGTGGGCAAAGGGGCACAAGTCGGTTCCTCCGGCTCCCTCCCCTCCCCTGAGGGGGGTGGTCAGTGCAATCCTCGGGGTTTGCTGGAAACCCGGGTAGTATGAAGAGCGATGGGGGGCGGGGGGTGGGGGGGGACTCGGGATCGCTGCCGTCCCCTCGGTGTTGGCGGAGCCTGTGAGCACCTGGGTCTCCGGGGGTCGCCCTCCCCTCACGTTTCCCTCCTGAATCCCGCACTCGGCTAGACAGCCCGCGCCGGACTCCCGGGTTAGGGTTTAGCGTCAGTTCCTCGGCTGCTTTCAAATGAAAGCCAACGAGCAAGCGAGGGCAGGTAAAGGGAGACCGACAGGGGTCCCGCAGACCGGGAGGCAGGAGCAGAGGGAAAGGGCGTGCTTGCCCCGGGACTGTCCTGAAGAGGTGAAGACAGCTCTGTCCCCCTCAAATCTGGGCCTCCAGCCCCGACAGCCCAGGGCTCCCTGAGGCCCTCCCTGGTCATTTTAAAGCTGTCCACTGCCAATTTGTCCTCCAGGCCGCTTTTGCCTGGACTTCAGC